ACCTCCCACGGTACGCCTGCAGCCCGCACTCGGGGCCTGCCGTGCGCCTGCAAGTCTGAGCTTGGGGTGCAGAGCCCACGCGGGCGAAGGCGGAAGGTGCAGAGCGAGCCCGCAGCATCCGTGAGCCTGCAAAGATGCTGAGGCGTTGACATTCGAAATCCACCGGGGCTAGCCCAGCCGGCATGGCTCAGGGGTTGAACATCGACCTATGAACCAGGAGGTCAGGGTTCGATTCCTGGTCTGGGCACAGGCCCAGGTTGCGGGGTCGACCCCAGGTGTGGGATGTGCAGGAGGCAGCCGCTCCATGATCCTCTCTCATCATGGATGCTTCTCTCTCTCTCCCTCTCCCTTCCGCTCTGAGATCCATAAAAATACATTTTAAAAACCTCACCTTGGCTACCAGCTTGTGAGAGCGCCCAGCATCTTCTCTGACCATCATGGTATGAAAGTAGAAATCAATCCAAGAAAAAAAACTGAAAACACATCGTGGAAGCTAAACAACATGTTACTGAACAAGGAATGGGTTAACAATGAAATCAAGGAATAAATTAAAATATCTTGAAACAAATGAAAATGAATACACAACAACTCAAAAACTATGGAACATAGAGAAAGCAGTCCTAAGAGGGAAATTCTTAGTGTTACTGGCCTACTTCAAGAAACAAGGAAAATCTGAAATAAACAATCTAATTTTACACTTAAGGAACTTGAAACAAACAAAGCACAAAGTGAGTAGAAGAAAGGAATAATAAAGACCAGGGCTAAAGAAATATAAAGACTAAAGAAACAATCAAAAAGGTCAATGAAACCAAGGCTGGTTCTGTGAAAAGATAAATAAGACAGACCTTTACCCAGACTCATTAAGAAAGTAGTAATCTTCAAAAAGTCAAGACTTTTGTTCATTGGGAGTTTTTGGATTACTACTTCAATTTCATTAGCTGTAATCTGTCTATTCAGGTTTTCGAATTCTTCCTGATTCAGTTTTGGAAGATTGTATGTTTCCATGGATTTGTCCATTTCTCCCACCTGTCCAATTTGTTGGCATATCATTTTCATAATATTTCCTTACAATCCTTTGTATTTCTGTGGAATCAGTTGTTAATTCCTCTTTTTCATTTCTGATTTTATTTTTTGGGTCCTCTCGCTTACTTCCTTATTGAAACCACAAAGGACCCCAAAATAGCCACAGCAATCTTGAGAAAGAAGAACAGAGTTGGAGGAATCATGCCACCTGATAGTAAACTACACTACCAGGCCACAGTGATCAAAGAGCATGGGCCTGGCACGCAGACCGACAGACCAACGGACAGAGGAGCCAGCTCAGAAGCAAGCGCATGTCCTAGGGCCCATTAATATTCACCAAAGGAGGCGAGAATGCAAATAGGATCCAGATCGTCAGGTCCATAAATGGTGCTGGAAAAATTGGACAGATGTGCAAAAAATGAAATTAAGCTACTTTCTTACACCACACACAAGAATAAGCTCAAAATGGATTACAGACTTAAATGCAAGACTTGAAACCATAAAAATCCTAGAAGAAAACATAAGGCAGCAAAATCTCAGACATCTCTCCTAGCAATATGTTTGCTGATGTATTTCTCAGGCAAGAGAAACCAAAGAAAAAATAGACAAATGGGACTATATCAAACTAAAATGTTTTGCACAGCAAAGGTAACCGTCAGCAAAATGAATAAACAACCTGTGAATGGAAGAAGATATTTGCAAATGTTACATCTGATAAGGGGCTAATATCCAACACTGATGAAGAACTTATGGAACTCAACACCAAAATGAAAACAATCCAATTAAACAGGCAAAGGACCTGAACGGATACTTTCCCCAAAGAGGACATTCAGAAGGCCCAGAGACATGAAAAATGCTCAGGCACTGAGCACCAGAGAGACGCAAATTATAGCACAATGAGGCGTCACCTCACACCTGTCAGAATGGCTGCCATCAATAAGTCAACAAACAGCAAGTGCTGGAAGGATTCGGAAAAGAGGAACTTCGGGCACTGGGTGGGAGGCAGATTGGTGCAGCGCTGTGCAGAGAGGATGAATTACCTCAGAAGTTAGAAGTGGAACTGCTTAATACCCATAGAATAAAACATTTTTGAAACGTCATGACATTTAAAAATCTCTTTCTATATACCTGTGTGTGTGTCTGTGTGTGTCTCTGTCTCTGTGGGTGTCTGTGTGTCCATGTGTATGCCCGTGTATGCCCGTGTGTGTCTCTCTGTGTGTCCGTGACTCTGTGTGTGTGTCCCATATGTGTCTGTATGTGTGTGTATCTATGTCTATGTGTTTGTGTGTGTCTGTATGTGTATCTGTGTGTGTGTCTGTGTCTCTGTGTGTCTGTGTGTGTGTGTGTGTGTGTCTTATTTCTGTTTCCCTGGAGAACTCCGACACTCGGTGCTTCAAAAAGAGGTCACTGTGAGGGTGCCGCCTGCTGTGTGACTTGGGGTCTGTCATCCAACCTCCTTGCACCCAAACTGGCAGGGAGGGTCCCTGCCCGGATGCGGTGTGAGCCACACTGTGGCAGCCCACGGCTTCTCCTGAGCACGGCACCACCGTGAGCACGGGGCCTGCTCCTGCTTCCTCTGCGTGGCCGCGGCTGCACGGCGCTGTCCCCGTTCCAGGTGAGTGCGCGAGGCCTGCAGAGACCAAGGCTCGCCCAGCCCTCAGCCCGTCTCACTCCAGTCGGGCCATTCCTCCCGCAGACTGGCTTCCCCAAGGCCTGAGGGATTCTGCGCAGGCATTCTTTCCTACACAGGAAATTAATTACTTCTGGGCAGAACCTCCTGGGCGCCCACCGCAGGCTGGGAGGCTGAGAACGGGCGGAGCCTGGGAGTGGAGGGAGCCCTGGGCGCTGGCACTGCCCAGCCCGCCTGCCGTGCCCCAGCCCGGAGCTCCCTCTCAGCTCCGCTCCCTTCCCGCTGCGGAACCTGGAGGCCAGAGGCCAGCCTGAGAAGAACGCAGACATGGCGAGGTGTGAGCTGTGGGGATTAATGGGGCTCCTGCAGCTGGCCACAGACATCCCTCCCCGAGCCGGCTCCGGCCACGCGGCCCCCCAGCTCTCCCCTCTCCTGCCCCGGAGCGGGCGCTCCAGGCTGCAGCGAGGGAGGCCACACGGCCAGCCTGGCCGCGGAGCAGCCCCTCGGGGAGGGCCCAGGTGCCAGCCACAGCACACAGGGCGGGCATGGGCAGGGGGCAGGAGGGCAGGCTTGGCGGCCCAAGGCTCACTCCTGCAAAGGCACCATGGAGGTGGGAAGGGCAGGTTGAGTATGTTTCCTGAGGGTCCAGCCCTGTTTGGATTTTCTAGGAAAAGAGCACACTTGACAACACCGCCCTGGAGTTCAGGTGGGGGAACAGAAGGAAGGGGAGCAGGAGGAGGGGGAGCAGGAGGAGGGGGCAGGAGGAGGGGGAACAGGAGGAAGGGGGAGCAGGAGGAGGGGAGCAGAAGGAGGGGGGCAGGAGGAAGGGGGCAGGAGGAGGGGAGCAGGAGGATGGGGGCAGGAGGAGGGGAGCAGGAGGAGGGGGAGCAGGAGGAGGGGAGCGGGAGGAGGGGGGAACAGGAGGAGGGGGAGCAGGAGGATGGGGGCAGGAGGAGGGGGAGCAGGAGGAGGGGGAGCCAGAGGAGGGGAGCGGGAGGAGGGGGGAACAGGAGGAGGGGGAGCAGGAGGATGGGGGCAGGAGGAGGGGGAGCAGGAGGAGGGGGAGCAGGAGGAGGGGAGCAGGGAGGAGGGGGGGGGGAACACGAGGAGGGGGGGGGGGAGGAGCGAAGGAGGGGGAGCAGGAGGGGGGAGGGGGGGGAGGAGGGGGGGGAACAGGAGGAAGGGGGAGCAGGAGGAGGGGGAGGCCGGCGGCTGGGGCAAGCGGAGGGGGAACAGGAGAGGGGGAGAAGGAGGATGGGGAGCAGGAGGAGGAGGAGGGGGAGCGGAGGAGGGGAGCCGGGAGGAGGGGGGGGCAGGAGGAGGATGGGGAGGAGGAGGACCGGAGGAGGGGGCAGGAGGAGGGGGCTGAGGAGGAGGGGGAACGGGGAGGAGGGGGCAGGAGGAGGGGGAACAGGAGGAAGGGGGAGCAGGAGGAGGGGGAGCAGAAGGAGGGGGGCAGGAGGAAGGGGAGCAGGAGGAGGGGGAGCAGGAGGAGGGGGAGCAGGAGGAGGGGGAGCAGGAGGAGGGGGAGCCGGAGGAGGGGGGCAGGAGGAGGGGGAGCAGGAGGAGGGGGAGCAGGAGGAGGGGGAGCCGGAGGAGGGGAGCAGGAGGAGGGGGGGGCAGGAGGGAGGGGGGGCGCAGGGGGGGGGGGAGCAGGAGGAGGGGGGAGAGGGGAGCAGGAGGAGGGGGAGCCGGAGGAGGGGGCAGGAGGAGGGGGGAACAGGAGGAAGGGGGAGCAGGAGGAGGGGAGCAGGAGGAGGGGGGAACAGGAGGAGGGGAGCAGGAGGAGGGGGAGCAGGAGGAGGGGGGCAGGAGGAGGGGAGCAAGAGGAGGGGGAGCGGAAGGAAGGGGAGCCGGAGGAGGGGAGCGGGAGGAGGGGGAGCGGGAGGAAGGGGGCAGGAGGAGGATAGGGAGGAGGACTAGGAGGAGGACGGGGAGGAGGACGGGGAGGAGGACGGAGAGGGGAAAGGGGAGGAGGATGGGGAGGAGGACCGGGAGGGGGACGGGGAGGAGGATGGGGAGGAAGACCGGGAGGGGGACGGGGAGGGGACGGGGACGGTGTCAGGGAGGGGGACGGGGACGGGGAGGAGGACCGGGAGGAGGACGAGGAGGAGGACGAGGAAGGGGACCGGGAGGATGACCGGGAGGGGGACCGGGACGGGGAGGAGGACCGGGAGGAGGACTGGCCGTCACTGCAGCCGGGCCTCTGGCTGCGCGGGCTGTCCCGCAGGCACCGGCGGGGACGGACTTGAGCAGGGTCTGCACTTGGGGCCGGGGGCTTGGGGTCTGGGCGCTGGGCCCCGGGCCCTGGCGGGGGCGCCCTCCCGGGGCGGGCGTGCGGGCTCACCTTCCTGAAGTCGGCGGTGAGCGAGACCAGGGCGCCGTCGGGCTCCCGCAGCTCCAGGCCCACGCTGTCGCCCGCGCTGTCCGCCTGCAGCCGCTCCTCGGCCACCCGGCCGCCCGGCAGCCGCACGCGCACCCGCAGCTCGGCCCGCGCGGCCCCCGCGGCCCCCAGCAGCGCCGGCAGCACCGGCAGCAGCAGCAGCACCGGCGGGCGCATCCCGGCCCGGCCGCGGCGCGGCCCGCTTGGCGCGAAGTTGGCGGAGAGTCGGCGGCGGCGGCGGGAGCAGCGGCACCTCCCCGCCCCGCACTTCCTCCGACAGCCGCCCAGGCCGCGCCGCCCTAAAGGGCCCGCCTGTGGGCGGCCCCGGCCCCGCCCGCCGCCCGGCGGCGCTGCCACGTGGACGGCGACAAAGCGGATCCTCGGCCCAGGGCCCCGCTGCCCCGCCCGCAGGGGGCGTCCGGGGGCTGGGCCCGCCCCCCCGCCCCGCTCCCGTCCGCCGTCCTCCGGGGGGAGGGGGGGCACGGGGAAAGGCTGTCCCGGGACAGCCCTGGGGCCACCCTCAGGGCCCCGGAGCGCCGCGCTGGGCGCTGACAGCCCCGCGGCCCGCGGCGGGCGTGGCCGAGCCCGCCAATCCCGGCAGGGGAGGCCGGGTGCTGCTGGACTCTTGTCCCTGCTTCCATGGATCTCTTCTGTTTATTCTGTGCCCCGCGTTCTTAATGGTTTGATTTTTATTGATTTCTGAGAGGAAGGGAGGGAGAGAGAAACATCAAAGATGAGAGAATCACTCATTGGCTGCCTCCTGCACGTGCCCACCAGGGCCAGGGATCAAGCCTGCAACCCAGCCATGTGCCCTTGACCACCATTAAGCGCGGGCCCTCCCCTCAGCAGGCTGACGCTCTACCCACGGAGCCGCACCGGCCAGGGCTGTGTCCCCATGTTTTATTCTGAGAACTTGAGTGCAGATAAGTAAACACCCTCTGCCCCAAACCTCGTCCCTGCATGGCTCCCGCTCAGGCTCCTGTCAGGCCCAGAGATGCCAGCAGGCCGCTGGGGGCTGGGCGGCGCCGGGAGCAGGCCCAGAGTCAGGCCAAGACCACCTCTGGCTAGCTCTCCGGCTCTTCCCACAGACAGAGGGGCTCGGCTTGCCTAGCTTGGGGTGTTCTGAGCTTGCCGCCTCACCCTGCACTGGATGCCTGTTAAAACCTGGTCCCGCTGAAGACGTGGCTCAGGGGTTGAGCACCCACTACGCACCTTGAGGTCACGATTCAATTCCTGATCAGAGCACATGCCTGGGTTGTGGGCTCATTCCCAATTAGGGGGGTGGGGAGGGGAAGGGATGCATGCAGGAGGCAGCCAATCAATGATTCTCTCTCATCATTGAAGTTTCTCTCTCTCCCTCTCCCTTTCTCTCTGAAATCAATAAGAAAAAATATATTAAAACAAAACAAAACAAAACAAAAACCTGGTCCCAAAATCTAGCCAATTAAACTCCGTGGGGAAAGACCTGAAAATATGTTTTTTAACAAAATCCCCGGTAATACGTGATATAAGGGTTTGGAAGTTGGTGCTTGTCTGAGGGTTAGGGACAGAGAACATACTCGGCACAGAGCGGCAGGACAGAGCTGCCTCAAAGGCCCGCGCCCTCGGTGCCCGGTGCAAAAACCCTGCCGATCCCCACACTTCTCAGGGCCTCACCTACGGGGGCCTGTCCTCACTCCCCTGATTTTTGGTTCTGTCCCCCTTCCTTCATCAATCAGCTCTGCCCGCCATGTTCCAAGTCCCTCCCCTTCCCCCCAGTGGGTCCCAGAAGAAGGAAGCAGAGAGCCCCTGTGTCTGTGTTCCTGTTTCGGTCCCTCCGCTGTCTCTGTCTCTTTAAATTCTGGGTTTGGAGATAACGTTCCACCTCCGCTGTCTACCACCTCTTCCCCCATAACCAGCGTCTTAGTTAAATGGCAGATCGAACTGCATTAGGAAATGTGTGAACCGACCTCTGACCCTACTCCTTCCGTGGCTTGTGCCCAACCAGCTCTCCACAATTCAGAAGAGAACACTGGTTTCCTGGGAGCCTGCCACCTGACCCCAGCAATAACTCCAACAATTGTCATAGCTACGCCCACTCATTGCATCCTTATTGTGTTCAAGTTCTGTGCCTGCACTTTACATGTATCATCTTTTAAAACGTGTTCATAGCAGAAACTGGTTTGGCTCAGTGGATAGAGCATCGGTCTGAGGACTGAAAGGTCCCAGGTCGATTCCGGTCAGGGGAATGTACATTGGTTGTGGGCACATCCCCGGTAGGGGGTGTGCAAGAGGCAGCTGATCGATGACTCTCTCTCATCGATGTTTCTAACTATCTCTCTCCCTTCCTCTCTGTAAAAAATCAATAAGATATATTAAAACACACACACACACACAAAACAAACGAAAACCAAAACCAAAAACGTGTTCATAGCAACCCTCCAGTGCAGGCCCTGTTCTCACCTCTCCTCGCTGCCTGGGAAATGAGGTTTACAGAGGTTCGGTGCCCTACAAGCAGGGAGCCAGCAGGGACCGAAGACACAAGGCCCCCGGCTTTCGCTTTTGAACACAGGGGCACCTGCCTGCCCGCAGCCCTGCGTTCCTCTGCCCACAGGGCACACATCCTGTGCCTTCTTCTGAGTCCTAACGGCTTCCTGCCGGCAATCCTGTGCTCAGCGAGGCTGGCCTCAGAACACAGTGCTCCCTCAGCTGGCTGCGCACAGGCGCCCATCCCCGTGATGTGAGCACCCTCAGAGGGAGCGCTCGCCACACCTGTCACCACGACTGCAGCCCAGAGGCCCCACCGCCAGAGGCTCTTTGTGTTGGCCGCAGCCTCTGCGCCATAAACCAGTTCCTTCCCTTCACGTGCTTCCCAGCAAGGGCCTCAGATCTGCATCCTGGAGCCTGACCACTCGAGAGCTTGTGGGACTCAGTAGGCCTGTATCTCCATCTGTAAAAGGGGCACATAGATGCTGCCCTCACTGAGTTGTTTGGAAAAGTAAATGAACTATTGAGTACAAAATACTTCACAGCATATAGGAAAGGCCCAATAAATGGGGCTACTATTACTTAACTAGAGGCCTGGTGCACGGAATTTGTGTGGGGGGGGGCCCTCAGCTCAGCCTGCACCATCTCCAATCTGGGACCCCTCGGGGGATGTCTGACTGCTGGTTTAGGCCTGATCCTGCCTGCCTGCTTGCCTGATCTCCCCTAACCACCTTTGCCTACTGACCTGATTGCCCCCAACTGCCCCTCCTGCCTACCTGCTCACCCCACACAGCCTGCTGTTTGGTTGTTACTGTGAGGGTGTCCTGACGAATTTGCATATTATCCTTGTGCAAAGGATATTGTTTCTCCTTTCCCATTGTATCAAATATTACGCCCTTGTGTAACCTACACACATCCCTCCCCTTCCCTGGCCGCCCTCCACACACATCACTCACTCCCTCACTCCCTCACTCCCTCACTCCCTCACTTGTTCTCCTCTGGTCTTCTAGTCTCATGCTGCCTAGAACCTCTGAAATGGGAAGCGGGCAGCCAATCCTTGGTAGGCACCCCCTTTGCCTTTCTGTCTTAGTGTGCGAGCTGCAGGAAGAGGGATGACACCCCACCTCCCAATGGCAGGCCCCCTGGGAGTCGAAGGGAAGTGAACTGTTAGGAGGCTGGCGGGTGCAATGGGAACCTCACCTTTCCACGAGGGAAGATGTTTTCCAATTTCTTTTTTGTGGCTGGCATTTGGCTTGGGTTCTGCATGGTCCTGTCGCTGCCCCTTTTAGATGGGCTGCCTGCTGTACTTGTGGCAGAGAGGGGCTGGGGCTGGGGTGCCAGGGCCTGGAGTGCTGGAGATGGGGGTGATGGGGGTGTGGGTGGGGGTGATAGGGGTGTGGGGTGCTGGGTGAGGGTGCTGGAGATGGGGGTGATGGGGATAGGGGTGATGAGGTAGGGGTGCTGGGGGTGAGGGTGATGGGGGTGTGGGGTGATGAGGTGGGGTGATGGAGATGGGGGTGCTGGAGATGGGAATGATGAGGATAGGGGTGATGAGGTGGGGGTAATGGGAATGGGGGTGCTGGAGATGGGGATGATGGGGATAGGGGTGATGAGGTGGGGGTGCTGGGGTGGGGTGCTGGAGATGGGGATGATGGGGATAGGGGTGATGAGGTGGGGATGATGGAGATAGGGGTGCTGGAGATGGGGGTGATGAGGTGGGGGTGATGGGGATGGGAGTGTTGAGGATGGGAGTGCTAGGGATGGGGTAATGGGAGTGTGGGTACTGGGAATGGGGATGTTGGGGATGGGGGTGATGGGGATGGGGTGCTGGGGTAGGGGTGATGGGGATGGGGATGCTGGGGATGGGGGGATGGGGATGGGGGTGCTGGAGATGGGGGTGCTGGAGATGGGGGTGATGGGGATGGGGGTGCTGGAGATGGGGGTGCTGGAGATGGGGGTGCTGGGGATGGGGTGCTGGAAACGGGGGGATGGGATGGGGGTGCTGGGGTGGGGTTGATGGGGATAGGGGTGATGAGGTGGGGGTGCTGGGGATGGGGGTGCTGGGGATGGGGTGCTGGGGTGGGGTGCTGGGGATGGAGGTGCTGGGGTGGAGGTGCTGGGGGCGGGGGATTGGGGTAGGATGGGCACTCTCCTCTGCCCCTCAAGGCCAGCTGCAAGGCTCTGGGTTGCTTCGCTGCCCAGTGCTCAGACAAGGACATCTGAGGGTGTGGTGGGCGAGTGGGTGCAGGGCCTGGGTTAGGGTTAGGGGTTAGGGTTAGGGTTAGAGTTATGGGTTAGGAATAGGATTAGGGTTAGGGTTAGGGGTTAGGGTTAGTGGTTATGGTTAGTGTTAGGGTTAGGGTTTAGGGTTAGGGTTAGGGGTTAGGGTTAGGGTTAGGGTTAGGGGTTTGGGTTAGGGGTTAGGGTTAGAGTTAGGGTTAAGGGTTAAGGTTAGTGTTAGGAGTAGATGTAGGGCTAGTGCTAGGTGTTAGGGTTAGGCATTATGGTTATGGTTAGGGGTTATGGTTAGGGGTTAGAGTTAGGTTTAGGATTAGGGGTTAAGTTTAGGGTTAGGGGTTAGTGTTAGGGGTTATGGTTAGGGTTAGGTTAGGAGTTATAGTTAGGGTTAGGGTTAGGTGTTAGGGTTAGGAGTTAGAGTTAGGGTTAGGGTTAGGTTTAGGGGCTTAAGGTTAGGGTTAGGGGTTAGGGTTAGTTTTAGGGGTTAGGGTTAGGGTTAGGGGTTAGGGTTAGGATTTAGAGTTAGAGGTTACGGTTAGGGTTGGTGTTAGTGATTAGTGTTAGAGTTAGGGTTTATGGTTAGTGGTACAGTTAGGGTCAGGGTTAGGGGTTAGGATTACGGTTAGGGTTCGAAGTTAGGGTTAGGGGCTACAGTTATGGTTAGGGTTAGGGATAGGAGTTATGA